GGGTCGGGGGTGGGAAGGGGAATTTGGGGGTGCATATGGTCTAGATACACTGTATGTATTATGAAACTGTCAAAGAATAAATAAATATTGCTAAAAAAGCAAATATTTATATATTTGTACATATAATACAAACGGTTTTTGACTTATGAAAGTTATGATTTTTAACTTTGTGATGGTAGAAAAGTGGTATTATTCGGTGGAAATCACACTCTGGATTTCCACTTCAATCTTTTAGTGCAGTGCCCTCGCCTGGAATGGCCACAGCATGCTGCAGCGCCCAGGCAGTCACATGATCATGAGGGGTAGCAACCACACTCTAGTGGACTCTTTTGAACAGATGTCATTAAAATACCTACTTAAATTGCCTGGCATTCTTTGTATTGAAAAGCCATTGGGGCTGGAGAGATGGTTCAGTGGTTAAGAGCACTGGCTTCTTTTGCAAAGGACCGGGATTCAAATTCCAGGACCCACATGGCACTAACTTCCATACTTTATTCTTTATTCAGAATGGGAATTCTGCAGTTTACTTATGGTTGATAGGAGCTTACACATGATTCCACAGGCAGTAGGTAAATCATTCTATTGAGTACAATAGAGTCAATGAAAAATGGAGCCCATAATCTATAGAGGGTCAAAACACACAACATGGACAGCAAATTCACAGTTCATTGTGATGCCTTTGCAGGATAGGGTAAGGAGGGTAGATGAGGAACAGCTGACCTTCCTAAAACAAAGACCTCTGGATAGGCTGACTAGATTCACCGTTTTTTTCCACATACATTTTAAGGAGAACTGATGCCTCAGATAAAATACCTTCTGTACATTTATAGTTATTAACCAGGATTTTTCTCTTTGGGGACCATTCTCAAATGAGCTCAGATATACCTGACATGAGAACCCATGGTCTCTTACCTTATTTCACTTTATCATGTGTACTTCCTTCCAATGATGCTGGATGATCTGATAAACAGGAAATTTATGTTGTTTTCTGAGTTCCCAGGGGATTTTGTGGCAAAGTCTTATAAAGGACACTCATTGTAGAATATATCTGAATCACAATCCACATCTTCATATTGAACATTCAGGCTTGACTCTTTTCTGGTGTTATGGTTAGATTTGAAATGACCCTAAAGGTTCATGTGATGATAGAGTGGTCCCTAATTTAGCAGTGTCTCGATACAGAGTTCTGAGGAAATTATCATATGATGAAGGCTCTGGCTTCATCAATGGATTAGTCCACTGGTAGGAACATAAATTGGTGGTTTATTGGGAGATGATAGAAAGTTTGACGATAGGCCCTGCTTGAAGGGAGTGGGTCTTTGGGGGCATGCCCTTGGGGACTATATCTGACTTACAGCCTCTCCTTACCATGTACAGCAGCTTTTCCTACCTTATATTCCCTTCAATAAGCCCTGAAGTAAAGTAGCCTTTGACTGAAAACTCTGAAACCATGAATCACAGCTGATCTTTTGTCCTTTAAATTGATTTTCTTAAGTATTTTGTCACAGCAATGGAAAACTGACTAAAGTATCTGGGAAGCCATCTTTAGTATATAGCTTCTAGTGTCATTCTGTTTAGTGACATTTAGGCACTTTGGATTTATAATTAAGGAGTTCTATTTCTTCACCAATGAATAGATTATCCAATCAGGAGCAGATAGTTGTTAAATTAAATGACCAGGAAGCCATTAATATGAGGGCGACTCTGTATTTTGAGTTTCTATATAATGAGCCATTAACTTAGTATATAAAAAGTAAACTTAGGAGTATAAAAATAGTTGCATTTGTGCAATCACAAGGATCCAGGACTCAGCCAATCACAGGCAGCTAATTTATCACACCATGCTAAAATTTCTGTGCCTAGCTGTGGCCAATTAGGTGATTTCTCTGTTTGCTGTGTCAGGGCCATGAAATCTTAACGGCTTACACCGCAAGGTAGAACTCTCTGACTCATCCTGGCTCTGAGTGCTGCTCCATGCACGAATTGTTCTTTGTTCAAATTAACTGATAAGTTTAATTTGTCTAAAAGTTTAGGATAGTATACAAGGAAAAAATAAGCATTTTTTTCATTTACAAGGTTTTTTCATTTACAGACATTTACAAGCTTCCTTCAAGGGCCAAGATAAGTATAAACTGGTACTCAATTTAAATTGTGCAGGTTTTGAAAGAGGCATATTTATTTGTGAGAGAGATCTCAAATATGTGAGCATAATTGGTCATCTGCCAACCACAGTTAAAGTCAGTGTACAAGTGTCTACTTAGTCTTCCACTGAGGAAAGTGAGAGGAAATAATTACTTGTAAACATTCTAGAGTCTGGAGATTCTAGAAGATCCACAGAGGTCTCTTGAAGAATACCATCAATTCATGCAAGCATAAGTGAGTAAAAGAATTACTGGAGGTGGATATGAGTAATGTAAAATTGAGACTGTGACAGGATTAGGTAGATAAAGAGAAAACGACTTGGAAAAGTCTCTCCGAGGCAGTAAACAGTATCTTCCTCTTTGTGTGTCAGAGCTTTCACTTGAAATCTCTGTCATTCTTAGGTCACCCTCATCATCAAAGGGTTCATCTACTTGGGGTTTATCTAAGGCCACGGTCCATGTGCTATCTCCAACCCTCTACTCCACCAAACTTCTGGGAAAATGCAGATGACATGTCTAAAGAAGAGGACCGAAAAGAGCTGAAAACCAAAGGTGTGCATTTCCATCAGGCAAGAGGCCAGGTTCTGGTGTGTGGGGTTGACTGGGGACTGGCCTAGGTCATATCCTACCAACACTTATGCTTCTCTTTTTCACATTCCCAACAACAGGACAATGTGCCTAATAAAATATTTTTCTTTCTTTTGTTTCCTTTCTCCAGAAAACAAAAATGTCTACTTTTCACCCTTTTTCTAACTAGTTGTATATAGATAAGGTCAGTACCCTCTTGACATTTGCAAAGTGGACCCTTGACAAGTGAATATCTTTGAAGGTCTTCATTCCTCATGTTTAGGAGCAAAGCTGTGCTGTTTTCCGTTTACCTCTCCTGAATCAAAGTGTATATGCTGATCCAGTAACTCACTTACCTTTGGCCTGTTGAGGAATCTGATTTTTCCAACACTGACATCCATTCTTTCTGTTCTTCTGTCTCCTGTTCTGTTCTGTTCTGTTCTATTCATTATTCTGTTCTGTTCTGTTCTATTCATTATTCTGTTCTATTCTATTCTATTCTATTCTATTCTATTCTATTCTATTCTATCCTATTCTTCTATTCTGTCCCATCCCACCCCATCCCATCCCACCCCATCCCATTCTATTCATTTCTATTCTGTTCACTCAAATTTTATGGGGATGTACCCCAGGCAGCCTCATTCTTTTACAGTTCTTTTAATTAAAAACATCTTTTCAACCTTGGCATGGTGGCACATGCTTTTAATCTCAGAACTCTGGAGGCAGAGGCAGGTGGATCTCTGTGAGTTGAAGGTCAGCTTGGTCTACATAGCAAGTTCTAGGCCACCCAGGGATACCTAGTGAGACTCTGTCACAAGGAATTATTTTTCTTGTCACCATGATCATAGTAAGGGATCATTCAGAATGGTGACAGATTGATCAGATACTGGGAAAGGCTCTGTAGGGATCATGCTAGTTTTGTGTTTCTATAAAAAAGTCAAAGACATAAGCAGGAACCCAAGGCTAACATGCATCATCAGTTCACAGCACCAAGGCTCACATGCAGCTCCAGAAGCTATAAACAGATCCCATAAATGCAGGTGCAAGCAAGGATCAGCCTCCTCACTCTGGAGGGTCAAAACCAGCCAATGAACTGCCTAAAACTGAGCACAGCTACTGACCAGTCAGGAGCACAGATCTTTTTTTAGCTTGAATTTCTTATTTGCAGAGAGGACCTGACATAGACTCTTTAGGACTGGATCTCTTATTTGTATGCAGAACCTGGATGGGAACCGTTGTTGGAACCTCTTCCTGTATTAACTATCCTTGTCTTTTGTTCAGATACCTGCATCCTAACTTGCTCTTGGGTAGGCCTGGTTTCCTGTTTCACTTTAGTAGATGGTCCAAAAAAGCTTTGTCTGTGTTCCTCTGGGATAGGTCTTATTTCTATTTCTGGATCCAAGAATTGAGTTCCAGTAACAGGAACAAGGTAGAAATCGGGACTCACTGGGTGGAAGACAAGCAGAGAGAGCAAGCATTGCTTTTGTGCAATGTAATATAAATGAAGACACCCAAACCAATCACCACAAGTGCCCATTACTTAGTAAAGAATTTGAGTATTCTGGAGTGTTAAAATTCATAACAAGGGGGCTGGTGGGATGGCTCAGAAAGTAAAAACACTTGACTTGTCTCATGTATCTGATGGCCTGAATCTGATCCCCAGATCCCATGGTATAAGAAGAGAACTAACTCCAAAAGCCATTCTCTGACCTCCACTTCCACACACATACACATACACATACACAAATACATATACATACTATTACCACTACTACCAACAACAATAAATTGACAGCAAAGGAGAGACCTAGACTTATTTAATCATCACTCAGCAAATATATGTTATCTGCCTAATGACAAGGGCTACTAGGAGTGAGACTGATGTTTTGTCCTTGAGGTGTTCATGATGTATTGAGGGAGACAAAAATAAGGATGCTCGCCCTGCATGGTGGCGCACATCTTTAATCCCAGCACTCAAGAGGCAGAGGTAGGTGGATCTCTGTGGGATCAAGGCCAGCCTGGTCTACATGGTGAGTGCCAGGCAAGCTGGGGCTTGAGGGAGACCCCGCTTAAAAAGAAGAATGTTAGCTACTATGAACAAAGTAAAGCAAGCTGTGGACTCAGGTTGACTAGGGGAATGGGGCATGGGGAATGCCTTACATTCCAGTTCTGGCAGACTGGGAGAGCAGAGGCAGGCAAAGTTTGGGAGGCTCATTAACATCTGCTGAATAAAATGAAAACTGCATTTGGAGATGTTGGAGTCTTGATGCCCTTAGGCTTCAATGTATGAAATGTGTGCTTAGAGTGAAGTTTCTCATGCTGGCATAGCTTTAACGCTCAGCCCCATGTGGTCTTTTTTTTTTAAAAGAATTAATTGTTATTATTATTCCTTCTTCTTCTTCTTCTTCTTCTTCTTCTTCTTCTTCTTCTTCTTCTTCTTCTTCTTTTTCTTCTTCTTCTTTTTTTTTTTTTTTT